AAGTCTAGTCCTGAGCAGTCTCTCATGCTTTAATGCTGTATTCGGTTCACTGCTTTTTTGAGAATTTCACTTGGTCATTGTAACACAACCATCTGTGTAACCTGTGTTTATCCTGAAGATAATTCATAGAGAAACAATACAATTTTATAATGTAGAAGTGAATCATCATGCGTAATGTTGATGTAAATTTATCCATCTTTTTCTGTCACATATTAAAATAAATTTATAAGAAGGTAAGTTTTTAAAGTCATCTTCAGTGTCTTAAATGATGTAGAGACAGATTGCTACAAATGACTTCTTCTTCCATCTATTTTTCTTCAAATGACTCTACACCAAATATCTTAATGAATTCTGAGAGGAATGACAAATCTGAACATTGGTAAACAAATAAATATAATGTAGATATAATTGACTAGTAAAAAGTATTGATTGTCTACCATGATTCTTTGGTTGCATCTTCCTGTCACAGAATAGACCAATTATAGTTTATCCATATGATATCACCATTAAAAAGAAGTCCACCAAATCCAGAGACTTGAATTTCATTAGACTCTACTTTTCAAACTGCAGCTGACCAGGGTACAACCTATTCATAACTGGTGATACCACTATTTCAAATGATGTGAATTGATTTTTTTCCTGTCAAACTTTCTTTACCTATATGCTGTTTTTCTACATTGCCTTATCATACCAGAACTACAATGGTGATAGTTGTTGATACTCCCTGAGCGTAACTCTGTTTGCCTGCTTTTTCAATCACCATGTCTTCCATTTTTGCATTAAGCAAATGATAGTTCATCATTTGGAGACTATAGAAAAAATAGAATATTTATTTAACCACCTTTCAAGTTTAGAAATATGTAATTCATTAAATATTACTTAGGTTATGATGCATTTTCAATTATTAATCCTACATTTACTAATCTTTACTCTTGGCACAACATGTAGAAGTTGAAGGAATGTCTCAACGAAAGCTAAATTAGGTGCAAAGAGAATTAATGCTTCACAAGAGCTTCATTCGACTCACATTCACCATAGTCAAATTGATTCCATACAAGTTTATGTTGTTCTTTAAAAAAAAACATTTGTTGTTTGATGAATATGAACATTTGCAAGATGTGAGAAGGTAGAGGAATGTTAAACAACAGCTCACATTACTGAATATTTATTTTAGTTCCAACACCAGTTTATGTCTTTGTAAGGCTTAAATAACAGAAACTTAAAAAAAATACTAAAGCTATGAAGGAGTAAATTCAAAATTGGAGTTATTTAATATCAACTGCAGTGATTGTGTCTATGTCTAGGAAAAACAAAATCATAAATTTAAATAAGGAGAATACAATATTGAAGAATCCACACACTAGATTAGAGGAAAGTGTCTGATGTTAACCCAGGTACTTTGACCCCAGTCCAGTCAACGTGGAGTTCATATTCTCAATCCATACAGTGAGGGTCTCAAAAGACTGTTTTCTCTGTGACAAAGCTTCATAGAAGTCTTGCATTAGAGGGAAATTAAAGTACAAGGCATGATGAGACAAAAAATATGTGCATTTGACAGCAGTGGAAGGGGATGTGAACCAGAACAATATTGTCTTTTTGTTTGAAGAAATAGTTTGTCAAAAACATAGCTTTACATTTTTATTGGTGTGTGTTTGTTATACATGATGTTTACATTCATCTTGCAGAACTCTTTCTATATGTGTATTTAATCTGTATCTATATCTAATCAGTACCTGTCCATATCTAATCTGTACCTACATCTATGTCTAATCTACTCTACACCTAACCTGCAGTATATCTAATGGCTACCCATACCTGACTCATATCTACCCCTATATCTAATCTACATCTAACCTGTATCCATATCTAATCCATATCTGTATCTAATCGATGTCTAACTGAGATCCACTCCTGCACCCACATCTCTTGGATTTCTGTATTGTAGGGGGTGACTTTCTATCACTCCCCTCCTCCCTCCCACCCTCCACAGGGTTCCATTCCCTTCTCCTGGTTGTCTTTCCCCATGCTTCCTCCCATTATGCCAGTATTTTCCCCTTTAATTTACTCATATTTTGTGTTTCTCATATAAAAGGAGCAATGCTGTATCTAACTTTCTGTGTTTGACTTATTTTACTTAACATTGTGATCTCAGGAATCATCCATTATTTTCCTGCAAATGCCTTGAGTTTGCTCTTCTTTCACTGAGTGAAGCTCCACTTCATATGTATACCATGTTTTCCTCAGCCATTTTATGGTTGATGGGCATCCTGGCACAGTAACAAAACCATTTACAAGTGTGTGATTGGCTCCCAGAGTGATTTCATACCTTAAGTTGTCTAGCCAATAATTATACCCAAATTTATTTACAAAATTCATCTGTGTCAGGTTTCAACCAAAAAGATATTTTCCTTGTCTAGAACTATGCTATAAAAACTTATTATTTTATTATTTAAAACTGAAGATACATAAAATAAAAGAGAATATTTCACTGTTCTTGAAATGAGGAACCTTTTCAGGATGTTACATTTAGTATTACATTGCATTTATATTTAGCTTAGCTCACATGGTTACATTTCATATTTATGTGGATCAGCGTACCGCTATCTACTTCCCCTCTTACCATATACTGACATGAACAAGCAAGCACCTTGGGCAGAGTAGGTGGAGAAGCGCAGCTTCCAGCTGGCACCACCTGGACTCTGGCTTCCTGTATGGGTTTACAGAATCAATTGTAATTATTTTTTTTATTTTTCTTAAATTTAAAGAGAATAATAATAATTAAAAAGAACAATAGCAAAATACCAACAACATAGACAAAAAAAAAAAAAAAGCAAAAAACAGTACAAATGATACAGGGTTTCAGAACAAAATGTTAGGCATTAACAGTGGTTGTTATATTATATTGCTATCTTCAATTAAGTAGCTCAGATTACAAGATATAAGAATTCAAACCATTAAAGGGAATAAACCATTAAGAAAATAAAAAATAAAAACAAAAAACCATTAGAAACAATACAGAGTTTCACTAGACAAAATGGTAGGAATTCAGCAATGGTTGTTCTATTGCATATGGTTGTCTTCAAATCAGTTGTTCAGATTACCAGATATAAGCCAACATAATTACATTTACCATCTACTTGTAGGACAGGTAGCCTTTAACGGTTTCCTGTCTGCTCTCTTGTTCCCGGTTACTTACAAGCATTATCCCATTTCACATTTACAATACCTTTTGGAAGATGCAGTACTAGTCCCATCATTCATAAGACTGAAGCTCAGGAGTTTGAGAAACTCACCCTCGGATGAACACCTTCTACCCATGATCTGCATGGTTTCTATGAAAACTTTTATTTAGGCTGAGCTGACTTTTTGTTTTGTTTTTCCTGCCTACCTGTGCTTCAGCTTCTCTGGTGCTAGGTAGATTACAGTTTTAAAAATTTGGAAGAAGTGAAGGGCATCCACTCGATAAACAGAACTCTTCCAATCACCAACCAAGCCCCGGACATATGCAACGAGGCAGCCCCTGCCTCAGATGCCAAGCTTTCCCATCCTCACGGACAGCCTGGGTGTTCAGTCTGGTAATGACTTTGCATAATATTGATCTTTTGCAGTCAATTGGATGCGGAGAAAGGAACACCGCAGAGATTTACGTGTCTTTAGGGCACTCTCTGTTTCTCAGGGGACCAGTAGTTTTCATGCATTTCAGCCAGGAATCACCCGAATCTCTCTCTCTCTGTCTCTCTGTCTCTCTGTCTCTGTCTCTGTCTCTGTCTCTCTGTCTCTGTCTCTCTGTCTCTCTGTCTGTCTCTCTCTCTCTCTTCATTGGGGGAAAGGAAGCTGACATAGGCTTCTACTGAAGAGCTCTCATGAAGTATTAAAAACTGCACTTTAAACAATTTGTTCACAATCTTGTAATGATTACTGCCATTGACAGTGTATAAAGTTACAAATAACTCAAGCAAGCTATAACAAGAAACTCTGGGGTGATTTCTTGGGGACTGCCTTTGCCTACCTTACAAGCAAGGGTGGCACTTTGTCCTGGTGGCAGGAAGATCTAGGGCTAGACAGGAGGCCGAAAGGACCACAAGGACAGAGCACACTTTCCTTTGAGACAGAGGACACAAGGGGTGGACTGGTATGATGCAATGTATGGATCAGATCTGCCGTGTAACACTAAATTAACACATCTGACATTAATCCTGTACAGTGATCATACATTTGATAATACAGTGGAGAAGTAGATAAAGCGAGAGAACCTCTCCCACGATCCATGTGCTCCTCTTGGAGTGAGGGCTGGGAGGAGGGTCTCCACCACTGCATTCCCTTGGTGGAAGAAATTCTGCACTGTGAGGCTTCTCACGAGTGGTTCTTACTAAGTATTCCCTGAGAGAAACCAAGTGTTAATTCAAGACACTGTTGTGAAAAAGCCTCAACATTTTTATCCCACGGGGGTGGAGAGGGAGAGAGAAAAAAAGAATGCAAAATAGACACTAAACAACATTTCTTAAAAGCGTCACGTCTGTGTACATCAGCTCCAAGATCCTCCTGAGGATTTCTGCAGTGGAGCTGAGGACGGGTGAAACTATCTGGATAAAAAGAGCCTGGAGCAGCCAAGAAAAGCTCATTGGTCTCCTTGCTCTCCTGTGCCCGGGTTTCACTCTCCCAGCGAATGGCTTGGTGCAGATGAAACCATTTAAACAAGCCCTCCTAGAGCTAGACAACTTCATATCACTATTCACCCCTCATCCCATTACTGAGTATCTCACTTCCCCTGGACAAGCCTGTACGGCCAACCTACTTCTGCCCTGTCCTTTCAGAGAGTGGCTTCTCCCGTGTGAGGCCAACCAACTCAGAGAGCATCTCCCAGTTCAGAGCTGTCCCTGCACACTTCTCGGTGCTGTGAAGCTCTGCTGGGAGGGGGCCATGGGTGGGAGTCAGATCACCAGGTACCGGTGTCCACTGGGCCTCCAGTTAACGCTTGCATTTGTTTCCTTGCCTTGCAGAGATGCTGGAGTCCAGCAATGTGATCTCGTTCCATGGCTTGGCCAACAGCTCCAGCTATCACACTTTCCTGCTGGACGAGGAGCGAGGCAGGCTGTACGTCGGGGCGAAGGACCACATATTCTCCTTCAACCTGGTTAACATCAAGGATTTCCAGAAGGTAGCTGTGTGCTGTTATACCTGCGGTACCTTGTGCTTCCCGTGTGTGCTATAATCCTTTGAAACGTCTCACGTTGTATAGGTTCTCCTAGCTATTTGGAATCATGACCAGTTACAGAAAATTGCTCAAAATTATTATTTTACATTTTGAGCTGCAAATGCAGCTTGTGACAATAACAAAATGGACTTAGTAAGGAATAAAAGTCAAAGAAGACACTGTAGTGCTCCCAAGGATCACTATAAGAATCACCGGCTGCTGCTCAGCCTTCAATGGTCATACAATTATTCCTGCATAAAAGTGCATGCCTGAATGGTTGTAGACGCTCATAACTGCCTCAGGTACTAGGTGTGTCTGTGTGCACAGTGTGTGTGCTGCCATCACATGCAGGGCTCCTCAGTTATCCACAGGCCCGATGGGACGCACCGTGAGTGCACACACAATTGCACCGGCACACGGCCGCTCGCATCAGCGGCATGCTCTCCACGTCTGTCACAGGCCACAACAGCAGAGTGGAAGAGCTGTGGCCATGTGGCCCAGAAAACTGAAAGTATTTAGTGCCTTGTCTTATAAATGAAAAACTTGTCAACCTGATCTAACAGATGAGGTTTTTTTTTGTCTTTTTGAGACAGGGTCTCGCTATGCAGTTCAGTCTGGCCTTGAGCTCACTTTGTAGCCCCGGCTGGTCTTGAACTTGGTGGCAAGTTTTTGCAAGTGTGGTCACTGAGACATTGGCATACATAGGTCTTTTCCTTATTCCTCATAGTGTTTCTGGTTTATTTCATTTGAAAGCTATGCAGTTTGGAACAAGCAAACATTGACAAATTAGTAAAAATTTGCTAAGTTTACTTGATACACCTTAGGTCAGCTGTCTGAGGAGTTCTGTCCACTCTCCTTCCCTATGGGGTGAAGGTCTCGGTGTCTAGGCTTCCACAGGGGTCACAGTATGGCAACCTTGCAGAACACACACCGCCCATGTGGACCTGTTCTAGGTCTGCTTTCTCTTGAATTTGGGATTGGAAAGTAGTGTGTGCCTCGACTATCCACAGTCTGTACATTGCCTGGTAACTTTTTAAAGAGCGACTAAGTTGTAAAACGTTTTGTTCTGGTGGAGAATTTTGTGTTGGAAATAAAGTAAAGGCTTGTATTCAACGTTGATCTCCATATTTAATAGAGTGTAGCACTTTGACTACTTCTACAGTCGACATTAAGATTCTGACCATGTACATCAACATTTGATCGATATAAGATCATAAAATCCAAGGCCTTTATAACGTACTCATTTTTCTGATTATTCTATTTGATTTCTAATCTCAGGTGATGTCAACAAATGCCTAGCATTACTAAGATTATTATATTTATTGGTTTTTCTGAAATTATGAAAATATTGGTATTAAGAATATTTTGAATATTTTGAATCACAAATAAATATTTTATGTTACTGTTTTAACAGAACAAACTCATTTTATATAGTGAATAAGAAATTAAGATTATTCAGAGAAATTTAATATTTAATTTTAGGGAATTCTGTCAGTTAAGCTTGTCAGTATCATTTTATCATTTTCTAAAATTCATAAGTAGGTAAATAGACAGTGTGTGAACATATATCACTTCAGACCATCTGTTTAATGTATTTAACATTTGTCTTCTGAAGATCAAGAATCTAAAGTATTGAATTGTTTCTAAAATCAAAATCAACCAAAATATACAAAATTCTACTATTTCATAATTAGGCAAATCCTGGAGCCATTTGTACAACCAGCCTGAGTATTCAGATATCATAGTACATGTTGCATCCTCTACCAACTGGACTTGCAATAAATTCTTTGAGTTAATGGATTAATTAAAAGTTCAGTGATTTGCCCACTGCTGGGATCCTTGTTATAACTCTGGCCTGTGAATTAATATTACACTACTCATAGGAAGTGTATTTCTAAGTCTAAAACACCTTGTTAAAAATAGAATATTTAATTTTAAATGAAAGCACATTGTTTAAAAGGGCAAACCCAATTTATTTATTTAAACTTATACATCATTTCACTTCTGGTGGTTTTCACACTCTTTTATACCTATGTGCATATAAACTTGTTCAACAGCTCTTCCCTAAGCATCTACTGGGTGGCCCGGTCTATGAATTAATTGTTCTCATTGTGAATCACAGCTCACAACTGTCTCCTGTGAGTCACAGCTGATTGTTCTGGGTGACTCTGCAGTAAGGGTAAAGGAAAGGTGACCAGGAGGCCAAGCCCATTCCCAGGCAATGCGGGCTCTGGGTTCTGCATGAGGAAGAGCCACAGGAAGCTTCTTGGTCTTGATAGAAAGGCAGGATCTGCTTGGGCCTCCTGTTATTAAGGAGCACCAGAAAGGAGGGCAGAGGTGAAAGCGAGCAACTTGCCCTGGCCCCGTCCCCAGCACTGTCCCCCAGATGTGTGAGAATGACCGAGTCTCTGGAAGGACAGGCGCACATGCAAGGGGGATCATGAAACACTAGGAATAGCCGGGCAGAAAATGTAGGCATTGTTAGTTTAGCGGAGAATTGTTGAGCACAGGATAGAAAATAGAGTAAAGCATGACTATGAAAGGGTGAAGCCACATATCAGGCCCATATAATCTCAGCAACCAACAGTCAAGAGCTGGGAAGCTGTTAGGAAACAGCTTGTCTTTTAAAATAAATATTTACTTTACATATATAAGCACACATATTTGATAATCTGTGAGTCCGGCATAGTCTAACTGGTAAGCTACATGTGACAGTCAAGTACATCTTAGCACTGCTATGCACAAGTGTGGTTGTGCCCATGGAGAAGTTCTATTTTATGCTGCCCTGGGTAAACTTTCGCAAGTGCAGCTCACCTGGCCTCTCCAGAGCCACGCGGCAGAGAGCTGTGGGACAGCATTGACCGACACTCCAGTGAATGCTGGAGTCAGGCTGATTTTCACTTTGAGGATGATACTTTCGTTGTTCTTGATTTTACTAAGGGACTACTTTGTAAAAAGTTTGAGGAATAAGTCACGTAACAGTTTTAATTTAAACATACAGGCATATGTGAAGAAAAGTACATAAAAGCAGAATACAGAAATTAAGATTTTAATAGTAAAAACAAATGCATACCCAATAATTCTTAGGCTTTTTAAATCTGTGACATGAATTCAAACGTACTTATCATGTCATAACATACTATCTCATCGTGGCCCAAATTCTTGTGCTAAATGCGCTGTTTCTTTTTTAATTCCTCAGATTGAATACCACAACCTTTGCCCAAGTTTATGACCACAGGTATTGAGTGACCTAGAGGTCTGCAAATGAATGATAATCAGTCCTTTCCAGGTTAAAAGCTTTCCTGCAGACATAATTGATTAACTGCCACTGTCTTTGGATTTTTTCTTTTATATATGACATTTTTCCCCTGAAATTAATATCACTAGAAGAGAAAGCTGAATGAAAGAACAATAAATTTTTCTACCCAATTCAGTTAGTACTTACTAACATTGATCAGGGAATCTGGAAAAGTTTGTGTTAAAATTTAGGTGCTAGCAGTTGAATTATTACTCTGTAGAGAGATGTATCCAACTGTCCAAGCCACCAGCGACCTCTTGGAGCATATTCATGATATATGGAAATGTTTGGAGGGACAAAGACCAAATATTAGGGACAAAAACACAAACATTACTCCTCACATCATCTGAATTTAGCCCACAGTGGGAGTGTTTTTTCCTTTATTTTTCAAAGAAGAAATAATAGTAATGTGTTCCTACTCTCAATTATTTTAATGTTTCCTTTGGAAGCTGGGGTTTTTCTAACCCTTTTGGTCTCATTCTGCCCTCTCATTGTGAGATCTAGATTCTAGAAGTTGACTGAGAGCATCCCAGTGTTAAAATTTCAAAATCACTCATAGCAATACTAATTTAGAGAAACGTGGGCTGTACCTTTAAAGGTTTTCACCTCTTCCGTAGTGATCACATCCCACCAGTCCATCTCTCCCTCCTGCCTCCTTGGCAGTGGTCTCCACCCTATGTCACTTTGTCTGAGGACAGTGCGGCTCTGTCATTCTACCTGCGCACTTCGGAGAACAAGGGGTAGAAGGAGAGCGAGGACCGTGAGCCACACCAATGAGCTCACGTCACCAGAAAGTCTAAACAAAGTTCCTGTCACACAGTGTCTCACGGAACTTTCACTTCCATCTTGCCAAGGACCGTGTGCAAGATTGCATCTTTCAGAGAACTTAACTGACCCCAAGTAACCTTTCTTTTGTATCCTTAGATCGTGTGGCCAGTGTCTTACACCAGAAGAGACGAATGCAAGTGGGCTGGGAAAGACATCCTGGTAAGCACCACTCTACTGAATTATTTTAGTGATTTCTTAAGCAGTTTTTACTCTGTCATTTATTGTTATTAAATATGCTATTAAACCTCACACTTGCGAGTCTAATCCCTCTCAAGGAATAAAATGCTACTCAGTCCTGGAGGCACCGAGGGTCCTGCAGCCTTCACACTGTGACAACCGGAGGTCATTTCTTCCAGGGCTAAGCCTTGTTAGTGAAGTTAAGTGGCGCTGGGTTGAGTGATACCCAAATATCTGCACGTGAAAAATAGCTGCAATTCGTAGATAAAATAACTTGCAGGATTTGTAAAACCATAACTGCATGTTACTTATATATTGTCAATATTTTGGAATGTCCAAAATGCCAAGAATTCATTCCCAAAGTTTTGTCTGTCTGAGGGCAGTGCCATGTGGGAGAAGCTCACCCTGTGTGCTGCCGTGCATGGGATAGGCAGGTATTGTCAAGGGCCGGCTTGGCGGACTGGGAGCAGCTGCCCTAAGCAATGTTCATATTCTGAGGGTTGCGAGGCGGGAGCTGAGTTCATGGGAAAGTTCGCCCTGTGCAGCGGCAGTGCTGCCACAGGTGCAGGAGGGGAGGTGGGGAGTGCGGAGCACAAGCTGCCCTCCCTCAACTCACACCCACGTGAGCAGCAGCACTGCGGCCTTGAGCCTTTCAGGCCGAGCATGGGCATTATACTGAAAGTTCTTCCTTAGGGAGAGTTCAGCGGGGCCTGAACCCCAAGAGCAGATTGGCACCGTCACCTCCGCAATAGGGACAGGAGGCGTGGTTTGGGATAAGTCAAAGCACATGGAAAGTCATTCTATCAAAGTTTCTATCACCCCAAGCCAATGCATCTGTGGGGACTTTTAAAGAAATTAATAGAGAGAACACGGAAGCGAAAGCCCAGGGAGGGCAGTGCTGTACACTGCACCACACGAGAATGTGCCTTCATGATCTTTGGACTCTAGTATCTTGTCTGTGAAATGGAACAAACAATATTGCACAATTATAACACAAGCTGAACAGTTTTCCTAGACCTCATTGGGAAAAGTAGAAAACCTTTTACAAATATAAGGCCCCAAAGCACAGCTGCACAGACAAGAAATTTACTAATACTGAAGTGACCCATTTACCGTTAACAAATTATGTTAGAAATACTTGGGGAAATTACTGAGGAGGACTAGAAGGGACTATCTTCCTGTACGCAGCTGTTATCTTCAAGAATGCAAACTTCCTTCCTCGTTTTCATAATGGTGAAGACCAGCTTGTAATTGCTGAGAAATGTTCCTGCACAAGCCCTCTAACAGTTTACGCAGCATGTTGTAAACGTAGCTTTAATGGTCGATTTATGAGGTGGGGATGGTTACTCCCACTTTCTTGATCAAGAATTACGATAATTCAGAATGTCACTCAAAGTCTTTTCCTTAAAATTTTGTAGTGTTTTGTGTACGGGGCTGTAAGTTAGGATGGTTTCTGTGTCCGTGATGATGCTCTTGATGTCAGCGGGACTGTTTGATCTGAACTTGCCCACTAACAGACACATGATAAACAAAGGACAGTTGAGCAAAATCTCACTCTTTTGGGCTCAACAAGTCTGTGAGTAAAATGGCAGCCAGGTCCCAGAGTTCCTGTAAAGTTCAAAGACACACAAGTGAGACTGTCAAAACAATGTGATATTAATTAACAATACCAGTGATAAAATATTAACCACCACCTTAATTAATCTTCTCAAAAAACAACCAATTAATATAGCATGAGAAAGTATGTGTACTTTGGTATTCTTTTACATTCATTAATTCAATTTATTTGTGTTTTCATTTCATTAAGTTAATTTTAATGAAGTTTACTTAAAATCCACAATTGAACTGATTTAATGCCGAATGCAAAGAAAGACCAAATCACAAATATCTTCTCATGCTACACTAGCTAGATGAATTTTTTAAAAGATTAAGTAGACTGATGTCATATCATTCAATTGCTCAAAATGCACCTACCTCCAGCGTAGTGTGTGGGACATGACCTATATGATATCAGAGCTTTCATTACAAGTTTCTATGAGGTGATCAGATACCGTGAACCTCATTACAGCTAGCAAATGCAGTGTCTCACTTCCTTTTCATTGACTTTCGTTGAATTCATGAGCATTTTAAACAGCCTGACAAGCACAGCAAGTTGTTCTTCTTATGAAGATAGCCCTGAAACCCTGAATATGGTGCCCACAGCTTGGTTAGGTCAGGAGCTTCTGAAGCTATTAAATTCACTGTGTCTGGGCCAGCAGCACAAGCCCTCTGCTCAAGGTAGAGGAGGAGAGAGACAGAGACAGAGACAGAGCTCTGTAGAAGATGAGAGGAATACTTTTGGAAATCACACAAACACAAAAGGAAAGTGCCTTCTTAGAGACTGAGTGATCTGATGCAGTCATTACATCTAGTGTTTAGTGCTTGGCTTCGTCCCCTTCACGTTACTTTACACTGATCTGTTATTGAACATCTACATTATGCATTAACGGCATGTTATTAAAATTTGTTTTACCTATCAGGCAACCACATTTAAATAGTTTAAGTCTTATCTCAAAGTATGTATTCCCTGCATTTTATATGATTCCTGACATCCCTTGGTTAGTTTGGCCCTTTAATTTACAAACCTATATTTGTCCATCTCTTTTCCTATACATGATTTTAGAAATAGTGATGCGATGAATTCCTGGGGTTTGTAACACTTCTGCCATGATAATCACAAGAAAATAAACACTGCTATTTACTTTTACCAATAATTTAAATGACCGATTTGCAAGAAAGATCGAGGAGGAAGAGTTTCCTTCTTCCGACACCTGATCTGCAGGTGGCGTGCACCCTTGCTGGGAATGCGGCCCAGTGTGTGCATGAATAGCCTGCAGCCGGGGTGTATGCTTGGCTGCTGCTCCTGGAGAGCTCTTGTGATGCTGTAGACCATAGGGACAGGTGGACTCTGCAGCCGTCAGAACTCCAAGAAAGCATCACAGTGAGACCTGGTCTGGACATTACAGGAAGCAAACTCACCAGCTCCTGTGGGTTCTCTGGGTTCCAGAGGGCGGGTTTACCTTCCCCGAGTGATTTCCCTAGTGAGAGTCCTCTGGAAATCACAGGGCTCTGAGCACGTCACCCTGGGGAAGAGCTGTCTGCTCAGAGCTCAGTTCAGACGCAAGGTAAGAGCAGGAAGAGGGACAGGGCGCTGGCCAACTTGTACGTGCTGCAAGGGGCCGTCCCCATGCGGCTAGGCCTGCTTCCTTCCTGCACCCCGACAAGCCACGGGACTGACCCTCGACACCTCCTATGTAACCAAGTGGAACACCACGCAGAAAGTGAGCTTTGCCCACTCTCCCAAGCAGCTGGGAAGAGCCAGCCTGTCACTGTCTGTATCAAAGATATGCATTAAAGCAACAGCTGGAATTTGGGCAACTGTCCCACAAAGAATGTGCTTTATGAGAAAGCCAGAATCTGCAGCTGGACACACAAATATGCTGAATATATTAAACAGGATGCATGGCATTGTTGCCTATGCATATTGTTATAGGCATAGGTATCTCCACGTGTATGCAGTACACATGCACATGCACGCACACTCACACATGCACAGGGGGTGTAGGTGTATGTACTGGACAAAGCATCTCTGGCAACATTTATCTAAACTGACTTTTTCTGTTGCAGGCATGATTGTCTAGAGTATAGAACACAGCCTGCTAACATGCATGTTTGGGGTTAAGGGCTCTAAACTTCACTAGGGCTGTAGCATTTCTATCGTTAGAGAAATAAAGTGCTCGATGAACTTTTCCACTGCTATTACTTAAGTTATTTGAAAAAATATGTAAGCCATAAGACTATTAGAAAGAAACCCTGGATGATAGAGTAAACACCACCCAGATATCTGTATGCTGGCTCCTGCTCTTCCCTTGTTTTTTATATCTTCCTAGGGCTTAAAATCCACTTTGTTATTCACAATAACATTTCTATTGATGGATTAACTTCCTTGACCCTGTTTTGCAAATGAAAACTGAGTCCTTGCTAAGCTGGTAGAAGAATCTGTTTTGAATCAATAGCTCTCTGAATCCTCTTTGTTTATCCTACTAAACCGGCTCTCCACACTGAGTTTCAATAAAGCCAAATGGCAACCGTATGACTGCTAGAAATATTTTGAACATCATTAGAAATCAAAATATCAACCATCTGAAAGCAACAAAAAAAAGCAGATTCTCATAACATTCTCATTCCTGGACTCATTTCAAAGGGTGGTATCGTGGGTGCACCTGAACTTTGGGGCTGTTTGGAAGCTCTGAGGGATTTATGCTTTGGTTCTTAGCAGTTATTTGTTTTTAATGTGTTGATACATGATAACACATCTGTCGCATTCACGCAGCTCAAATCGCAGGGCCTGAGCAACACCGTGTTTGCCCCGTGATGCAAAGGAAAACGTGCATTGCATGCTCATCTCGAGCTAGGCTCATTCCATAACACACCGGGTGTCAACTGCACACTGCATTCATCTTCCCAGTGGGCAAAGGGACGTCGACCTTTGGTGTCCTTCAAGAGAAAAAATAGCAAAATAACAACAATGAAGACAAAAACAGTAAAAACTATACAGAATTTCAAAACAATGTGATAGGAATTAACAGTAGTTGTTATATTACATATTGTTATCTTCAGTGAAGTTGCTCAGATTACCTGATGTAATAATGAAAGACTGATCAAATAATTAAAGAAAATAAAAAGTAATAAAAAATTAGAAACGATACAGAGCTTCACTAAACTGGGATGAGGGAAAGGAGAAGAAAGAAAGAAAGAAAGAAAGAAAGAAAGAAAGAAAGAAAGAAAGAAAGAAAGAAAGAATGATTATATATGTATATACGAGGCTAGCTGGAATAATTGTACTGTTGATGTCTATTGGCTTATTGAAAAGAATAGTTAATGCTTATTTTTTTTTCTTGACCAATTTTGTATGCTTATATCTGGTAATCTGAGCAACTAAT